ACAGATGGGAGAAGTGTGTAAATGATAAGGAGGTTTTCTTTCTGTATCGGTAACTGGTTTGTATTCCTATTATGGTATTTCATTTCAGAGCAAGCTACCAATACAGCTACCGAATAATAGGCGTTATGTATATTTGTGATGATTTGTAAATAACGCTTCATGATTATGATTAGGTTTACCTTTGTACAAAGTTGTTTCTCAGTCTGTGATCTTGCGTGATGAGCGTTGTATGAGTTTAGCTCGGTGATTTGTATTCGTTTCATTTATTTTGTGCAATGAAGAGTTCTACATGTCAGCTGAGTTTTCGATTCGTAGAAGTACAAGTACAAGCCCAACCCAGAATTGTGGGCGCTGTATTGTGAAGTCATGATCCCTTCCTTGTAAGCGATAGGGCATCTGATGCAGCACGTAGTGAAGCGCAGCCAGGGCGCCTTTTTTTACCAATGATTCCTTCCTGAGCCCGCAATAGCTGAAGGAAAATCTGGCCTGGGTGCTCTCCAAGCCATGTACCGTCAGACGCCCTGCCTTTTGCAGGAATCTTGTCTATACCATCACATCCCGTGGGTCTTTCCCACCTGAGATCATCCACTAAAATGTGCTGTTCTTTCACAGTTGATTGCAGCTGGCATCAGACTTGCTGAATGCATTAGGGAGGTAGGGCACAAGCAGGGCATTGTCTGGTGGAAGTAGTGGTAAGCGCGGCCGCGACGGGCCCTCGTACGTGCATAATAGCTTCCTCTGCAGGAAATCCGCTGTCCGCCTGAACGAGTAACATCAACCAGGTCGTCGCTTAGCTTGTCATCACGGTGATAGCAACAGCTTCTAAACTTGGCACTGCAAACTATCAGTAAGGTTGGTTAAATATCCCGGTCCTTGCTCCCTTTCGCTAGACGACGATTTCAGGCGGTATTGGTTGAGAACGACAATTTATGACCAAAAATAGACATAAGTGTCCACCATGTCCTTGTCTGCATGAAATCCGATGCTCCAATCGAAACTGTAGCGCAAATCAAGGAAACGTCGCGCCCATTGCCGCGTGCGACGAAAGTGACAACTTACAATTCTCTTGCCCATCTCCTCCGCTGATAGCACGAGTGATTACGATGTGAATGGATAAAGACGCGGTGTGATGCATTTTACTAACCATTACTAACCTACGCGGTAGGCCGCTTCTCCAGCAGGATGATTCAAGAGATTGCAATCGCCTTGCTGGCGCTCTTTCTCATATTGGCGCTGATGTTGGCCTATGAAGATGACGTAAGCACTTTTTCCTTTGACTAAGAAGTCCTCAAATCAACTATAACTGTATGAACTAATGGTTTTCAGCAATTTGGTGGGAAACTACATCAGCTGAAAGATAAAATGAGGAGTTCGATGCGCCAAAACAGGAAGCAAGCTGAGACCGCCTCCGGTGAGCGCTTCTAGGCAAGAGCAGCAGTCGTGGTCGCAACAGGCTGGAAATCCCCCGAGCACTAGAACAGCAATTCCTGGGCCGGCCACAGCAACGCAAAATACTCGGAGTACTTTCACGGCTGCCCCTCCAACAAGACGAAGACCATCTGGACATAGAATACAGACTGCAAGACAGGATGAGGAGGATCAGTTGAGAACTGCACGTCAGAGCGTTGTACAACAGGTAGGAGTTGTTCAACGCTACTTTTACACTGTAGACAAGTTCGTGACCGCTCTACCACTGCAGGCACGGGAAAATGGATATTGATTGCATGCACGCGAAATCAATATCTAGGTTCAAGTGCACGGTAGGATTGGGCGGTGCGAAGTAAGGAATCGATAATAGTTGCATTGGTTCAGGACCTGGATGAAAAAGTGCAAACAGCTCAACAGGAGAATCGTGCTCAAGCGTCGGGAGGTAGGGCGCATAAGAAACCTCGCAGCGGTGGCGGAAGAGATCCCAGGCATAGCGCCAGTGGAAGTGCTGTCAAACGTCACACAGGTGGAAGTGGTGCCAGACGTAGTAAAGTCGGGAATGCTAGCAGACACAGCCCCAGTGGAAGTGCTGACAGACGTAGCGCCGGTGGAAGAGATGAGAGAAATAGTAATTTCCCGAGAAATGTAAGGGATGACAGAGGTGGAAGCGACGAAGGACTCAATCAACAATGCTGGGCTGATCAACAACAACAAGATAAACAACAACAGAATGACAACATGTATCAGCGAAGTGACGACAGGTATCAGCGAGATAGTGACGACAGGCATAACCGAAGTGACGACAGGCAACCACGTAGCGAGGATATGCAACAACGAAGCGACGACAGGCAACCGAGCAGCGACGGAAGAAATCGCAGCAGCAATGAAAGACGTATGTTGTACTTATAAAACCACCCATTAATAGAGTTGACATTTCGCGAATGAACGCTTTCAACGGCTAAAGCTGGGCATATGGGCTTGCGACAAGAGAATCGTAATTCGCCGCGCTGACGGACGTCGCGTGCGACGTCGTGCCCGCAAATGACGATGGCTCCAGATCGTGGATGGCGACAGTAGTAATATAGAACCGAAAATAGGCACAAATGTCCACATTCGTAGCCCACGTGAAATCCGATGCTCCAATCGATAGGCTAACATGAGAAAACGCCGCTTCCATCGCCGCGCGCGGTGGAGCGACAAACTACGATTCTCTTGCCCGTCTCCCGGGGCATATAGTCCCGCAATCAGAGATCCGTGACCCTTGTTTATAGTCGGACGCAGCGGTCGCTCCCCAGATGTTCAACTGACCCCGAATAGTTCTAGCGATCAGTTAGACGAACAAAAGGCAACTAGGGTTGGCATGTGGCAACACGCGAGGATCATACTTCTGTTCGGCGGACGTTTAGTGGGATACTGAAAGGGAAACTGAAGGGAATTCGGAGCGCCGTATGACCGTTCGATGAAGCTAGCTTTGCTTCGCGTTTTTGCTTTCCACTTTTTTGATCGCAGGACGTACAAAGTTCGCCAACGTCATCTATGCTTAAATAATATGTGCTGTGAATACGCGTAAACGAATTGTTAGCTTGTACCATCCGCTCAGTGCGGGCGACACGTGATAAAGGCGCGATCAGCCTCTGACTACATTGCTCTGCCACTGGTGATCGGGTAGAGATCAATTCAGGTGTGAGCAACGGATGGTGGAGAGGCCGCAAATGGTACGGCGACTGACTTGCGACCCGTACTGCTGCAGTGATACAATCGTAGCTTAAAGGGCCAGTTGGCACGAATAATCCCCGCAAGAAGACTAGGATCAAATCTTCTGGAAAGCGGTGAATTCCGGCAAGATCTCTGTAGGCGCTGCATTAGGCGGTTTCCGCCCGAGGAAGTGCCTTTATAAGGGCCTAATCAAGCCACAGCATCCCGCTCCGCAAACGCCCACCACTCTCGCCGCGCCACAATAGACGACCTTGCCGATCGCTCATTCATTCATTTGCTAAGCAAATTATGAAGCGAAGGGATTGGTATGAAGCGGCCGTGATGCTGCATGCATACATGGGTACACATATGCAGCCGTATCTTCGGTAGCGGTGATTGGCAAGATGCCTACGGGAAACTCGTCCGAAATCGATTTCAAGTCACTGAGAACGGAGGCTTTTTCTTCGCAGGATTTTGACCGTTTCACTCCGTTCTTTCGCCATTTCCCCACTATACAGCGCCCTACTAGCATTTTAGGCTAAGTAGGAAACCATCGTGCCAACTGCCTTTAACTCATCATTACGCAGAATTCCACAACTTTCCACTCGGCGTCAAATTCGACGTAACGTGCCTACCGACGACGAGCTTGCCACTTATTTGACGCCACCTTGAGTTACGGTAACCCCCACCCGGACTCAATTGGGTTGCGCCGTGTATCCTACCACCGTAAGATCCTTTAGAGGGGTTCTAACTTTCTTCCAATCGGAACGTATCTAATTTTGGCGCTATGTGCATCCATGGCCATTCAGAAGGGGTAGTCGTAGTTCACTCCACATCTGGTCATCTGCCGCGTCAGAATATGTCAGCCTCCCCTGATCTACACAACATTTTCTGACTTTGTCGCGTCGGAACATGCCGTGGCTATGCCTCGATTAAAGCGTCCTCTCCAGAGGCCCAAAGCGCTTATTACCATTCTGATGTCGAGATTAGGCCTTATTCTCGCGTTCGCGACTCCGTATCTACACCTCGTTCGCTGACCGCTTTGCGCTCTTTACACCCGTAGCGGTTCCTCTGCAGACAAGTTCGGTTTCCTCGTGACGCACATTGCGTCGTACCCATAAATTTGAAGTCTCAACTGTGAACACGGTAGCACCAAGATCTTCATTTTCAGCTAGACGTCATCACAGCCGACATCGCGCTAAAGGAGAACGTTTACGAGGACTTCACAACAGGTCTCCGTCGTACAACAGATCGCCGTCGTACTAGACGAGTACTCACCGCTTACGTCCAATTCTCCTAACGTCCGCGCCGTACCATACCTATTCACCGGATCATTGATTGAAGATGAAAAAAATCTAAAAAAAGTTTGAACGCTTACTGTAGACTAGTTTGTTCGTTTGATGACTTGGAAAAGGCACTCCACAAATCCCTGGACATGGTATTGGCACGTTCGGAGGGATCAACACTAAACTTATTTTATTATGTGCAAAATGCGTAATAAACGGGTTTTGTAATGTGTCACGGCTTCTACATGTGATTCTACACTAGCAAAAAACTCACACAACTGAAAACCAATTTGACATATAGAAACTTAGTTGGGTGGCGCTAACGTTTTAGAGGGGACTATTCCGAAGCGTCTCTGCGTCTTCTCGCTAGCCAAGACGCAGGCTTAGAGCGCAGACGGTCGGAGTCGCCTACACTGTCTGTTCTGCAAGAGTAACCCGTGGTAATTCTGAATAACTGCGCCCTAAGCCTGAGCCTCGGCTAGAGAAAGAACGCAGAAGAGCTTTGGAGTAGTCCCCTCTAATACTGGCTAGATCAACAAAACGGTCAGAAGGTAGGGCGTTTCGCGCTAACCCATCCTCCAAGGATGTGCAACATGCCCTGGACTCCAGCTTTACGATATTTTCACGACATTTTTAAGATAGAATCTCTTTCGTCTGTTACATAGCCGGTCCGCAAATGCAGAGACTGTAACACTCGCAGCTCGGAAGTGAGTGTGATGAAAAAGAGAGAAAGTTACTCGCCATGGCTATCCCAGCCACAGATGAAAAGCATTGCGGTCATATCTGTGTGAGGTCGAGGCGTTCATCTCCAATCTACCGGTCAGGCAGACGCGTATTACTGCGCGCATGGCTAAACCTATGGTACTGATGACTGACAGGATTTCTGTGCTGATATTTGGTGCTTATCATATTCCTAAAAGCACCATTCGTTGGAAATAGGACAGCATAGCGGTTGAAAGAATTTTAACGGTTAAGATATCCTATCCTATATATAATCCGCGGGGTTTGTCTGTTGGTGTGTGTATGTGTGTTTGACCGGAAATCATAAATTCCTTTGATTTCATCGCAAGGAGTTCAAAGTTATGAGTGATGTAGGAGGTGGGACAGGAACACTATTGGTGGGTGGCAGGAAGTGATAACAGCTGATAAGATACCATAAAAGGCGTTAGAAGGAGAGAGTACACTTCATATCTTGGGCCACAGCAAAGATGGGACATTTTTTTCGAAGGTAGGATGTAGGGGTGGGTTGGAATAAACATTGGTGGGTGGCAGAAAGTGATAACAGCTGATAAGATACCATAAAAACTGTTAGAAGTAAACGTCTAAAGATGCTCGCCAGTGAGGAATGATAAGGGCCACCGACAGGTAGATGCATGAAAATGCGGGCGCCAGGCGGCTTCAGGCCGAGCGAATGTGGCATTCGTGTTCAGGAGGTCAAACTACCCCTGGGGACAAGTTTTCAGCGAATTCGGTGATTTAGGGTTTTTGGCGCCGGCGCCTGTCGCGCAGGAGCCAGGCAGTTTCAGGCGCTTGCGTGACAGGCGGATAAGTGGATATGATACTCGTGTTCAGGAGGTCGAATTACCCTAGGAACCCAATTTCCAGGCAAATCTGCTCCTCAGAAAAAAGTCGATCAAAATCCGGCTTGTTTTCGGAAAATTGCTGTAGTAACAGTTGAATAGCGCTAACGTTTGCAGGAACTAATTGAACAGCTGCCTTACTAGCCCCTTAGTTCAAGAAGAATAAGGAAAAGAACTGAAGAAAATTCTCTTCGGAAAATTGTCGACGACGACTTTTTAAAGGACGGAAACGATTGCACTTCCATAGAGCGCGCTTGTTGGTTGTCGTTCTTTGTTCATTACCTCTTGGCAGCTTCCAGTTTCATGATGTTTTTATTTATTTCTACCAGTGCATTTGTTTTGCTGTTCAGTTCAATGTTCAGAGTCTGATTCTGATTCGTCGTCATCACTGTTTTGCTTTCATTGAAAACATGTGTTTTTGCTTAGATGCACATGCTAACTTCTTTTGGGAACTTGCAATATAAAGCGGATGACACCGTTACCCTAAGGTGGCTTTCTATATAACCGCTAGCGTGTCGTAGCTAAAAAACAGTTGAAAAAGAAGAAATAGAGGAAAATTATGACTGTTGATGAACTCTCTGTCATTTCATGAAACATAACTACATGTTTACAACTCTGGGTCATCCGAAGGGTTTGTCAACTTCAACGTGCTCTACTGCGAGGTCATGATTTGTCAAGTTTACCAGTCATAGTTGAAAAGGTAATACAAAAGAGGAGAATTAGAGAAGGAAAAGAAATGAAGAGAAGAAGAAAGAAGGGAGAGGCTTTCCGTTGAAAGTAGACCTTGAGACCAACCTCTTATATGCGCGGTCACGTTCCCGAGAATTTGATATTATAAATAAGTCAGCTGAAATGATGAAACATGACTAGAATTGACGATGATTACATAATACTGTTATTAATTTCTCGAAACTCATCGTTTTTCTCTCATTTATTCGGTTCTTTGGACGTAACGTAATCAGATCTTCGCCAATGATTGCTTAACTTTCTAAGATAGTTAATCTTAATTTTTGAGCAAAGTATCTTTGTCGTGATCATCTAAAATTTCCACTGGTAAAGTTGCACGATAACGTCCGTTTAGATTTGTGTATTACCTTAAAGAGTTTAAGATGCTGCCTCACGTGGGGCGTAGTACTCTCATGTTGGTACATATTCAACTTTCCAAACAGAGCTTCATCAGAAATCTTGACAATTGGCTTCATACGTCAAAACTACCAGATGCGAAAAGGTAGATTTTAGTTCTATTACATTTCTTTAATTTGATTAGTTTTTTCTGTGTTCTTAGTCTTTTGTTTTTGGTTTCATTGAGCCATTTTTTATGGACCAAACTTTTTGATTTTTATTCATTATATTTTATCTCTCTTTTCCTCAGTGTTCTGACCATGACTGTACTTCTAACCTATCTGCTTCTACTATATTTTTAACCCATTAAATAAATATATTATGTTTATATTTGTGAAGGTGTGGAATCGCCGTGTACAACTTCGAAAGCCCATACTTCAGCGGGATGAAGTGATTTCACCTAAGGTTGGTTTGGGATAACCCTGATTTCAGTTGTATATAGAATGTATGCATTTAAACTCTGCGCTTCCTTTAGGTGTACTATGCCCCAGAATGGGAACTGGACAAGAAGCCGAACAAGGACGCTGGCTATCCTGACCCATTGAAAGGGTATGGCATGACACCTGAGAAATGGGAATATTACAACAAGGTTCTTCCTAGATAACTTCCGTTTTCCAGATGTTCTTGTGAACAATTTTCCCATTAGTCTTTCTCTAGTATTACTACCGATTTAGGTTGTTTGGCCTCCCATTATGTTGTACCGGAGACAGGATTGCCAAAAGCCAGAGAAGTATTCCATTGCAGAGAATCGGTTAGTTTTTTTTTCCTTTTTTGCTGATTTTTAGTAACAAAAAGTTTATTCTGGTTTGCATTTACCTTCTTTTAACTTTTATCACTTTCGTCTGCTAATGTTCAAAATAGTAGTTATTTCTAAATGGAAGTTGCATAAATATTGTTGATGTTTTCATGGGGTTTCCGTGTGTCGAGTACCTGGGCTAGTCAGCAATAGAGTCAGATTCAGGGCACAGCGTCGTTGGTGAGGGAAGGGCATCCCATATGGTCTTGAAGGAGACAACTCCAGAATGCAAGAATTGTTTTCCGGCAGTTAACTTTTCGCGATTTCCCCGTTATGCATTCCCACGCCCCTCCCCTCCCGAACTTGGTTGTCAGCGATGGAAAACTGCTTGTTGATTCCTAATGACTTCCCCTCCCCCCCCGCCTGACGTCGGTTATTCAGGGAGAAACAGATCGAAGTTTTTTAGTTGAAAAAAGGAAAATCGGTACGGAGAAGCATTTGGGACAAGGGTAGGTAGGATGGGAAAAGGTTTTGCACTAGACGACGATATGTCCGATGGAAAGGTGGGGTTGGACACGCGCCGCCACTCTACCCGTCCTGATGGTGTACACTCGCTTCTTGTGGGGAAAAATAGAATGGGCAGAATCGTCAGAGGCGCAAGTAAGATCCCAGGGTTGGAGAAGTGTCCAAGAAGCGAAACCTCGCAGTGCGGGCGCGAGACGGATACTATTGATGCGAGATGAGGATGGCCAGCTGGAAAACGAGTGAGACGACTGCAGTGCCCTACGCAGGATTACCGCAAGGGTTCGCATTAAAAGTAAATAGTGTAGGTGTGGTCCCGCTGAGAT